AAGTCCATCTTGGGTTACTGAACAATTCAGAAGTATTAGGACATAAGCAGTTTTACATATTCCTGTTCACAAAAACACAGGGCCAAGCAATGCTAGGCAGCAGCTCAAAGGAGGTTTTAGGAAGTTGACAGCAAATAAATATCACTCAGGCACCTAAAAGTAGCAAACAGATGCATGGTTTTACTGATTTAGCCCCCATGGCAGGGGGGTTGGAACTAGATGATCTTTAAGGTCCCTTCCAACCCTAACCATTCTATGACTCTATGATTCTAAGTGCCTACCAGTCCAGTCAAGTAACGGTTGGCATGGCCACACTGGGAAGCTACTGTGCTGTTAGTGAGGCAGCATGAGTTCTGGCCTAATTATTGCCAAGGGCCTGCCACATGAATGTGTAATTGCTGATATTTTAGTTCTCCTTCCAAAAGAGGAAAAGTGAGAGATTTCTGGGCTTCTATCATATTTCCTTCTCAAATCGCTCTAGGTACAGTTTGTCATCTCGAGATAAACTTTGCAAAACCTTGCTTGCCACTGGGGAGCGAGAGAATTCATTTGAACAGGCATAGTTTGCGTTGGTATCTGGTGTACGCAGCTTTGTCCTATGTTCATAATAGAATTGTGTGGTGTAAGGGGTTTGTAAGTAGCTAGTAACATGTTTATGAAAACAGGTTAAAGACATTGCTTGTTTTAAAACCCGTTCTCTGGGTTCTCTCTGGATATCTTGATCCCTAGGTGAGGGAGTGCAGCAATTCTCCCCATGTGCTCATGCTGTTTAGCTTTTGCTAAACACGAGGAAAGCAGATTATGGCTTTTAAGAGCAAAGCTTTGGCTTTGCTGCAGGTCTCTGTGAGAGGTGACATGTTGCTTTGGTGCCTTGAGTACAAAAATGTTTCGTTTAGAAGCATGCCTAAACAGGTTTAATACAGCAGCTTCAATAGTCATATAGGTGGCTATTTTAGTTCAGTTTAAGCATGGCAAAAATAACACATACAAACCAGAAGCAAAAGAGGCCGTGCAGCCTTTGGTACTTCATTCAAGTACATTGGTTTAAATTCAATTAATGCAATGTTTTTTTAATGCAAGCAAAGGCTTAATTAAATGCTGCTATCAGCTGGAGAAGGAAAGCTGTCAGAATCAGTACCTTACAAGTGGAATGGCTTACTTTATCAGTAGTGCAGTAACGGAAGGATTGGGGATTAGAAGTTATGGAGAGGCTGTGCTTCCTCCTACAATTGTTCTCTGTAATAGAGGACGGGTAAACCCAGACGGATTTTGTCCAGAGGGACTTGGCACATGGTACAGAGAGGCGCTACAATAAGCAGGCTAACACTCATTAATTGAACGGTGTTTTAAGAACTCCCTTCTCGAATTCAACTCTGATGTAACCAGAAACCTACAAGTTCTCATACATTTATTTCTGACTAGAATTCCTGTTACAGATCACTGTCTTGTAAAACCACTTCTCCTGGAAGAACAGTCAGTACACCATTCTCCTGAAAGTTACAGTTATTCACCACCAGTTTGAAAACAAGTCCATGCATGAGCATTCTGCTTGTTTTCCAGCATCCAGGCTTTCTTCTTTCACGTGCATGAGCTATCGCGCACGGTAATGCCAGGATAGAACAGTGTAACACAAGCCACAGGGCTCTGCACACTGAGGGAGCACGCACAATACTTAGGCAGCGCACATAACCCCATCCAAAGGGCATTTAATTTCTAGTGTAATCCTTGGCAGTTCCTGTTTAAGGAGAACACATACACTGAAGCCAGCGTGTAATTTCTAGTGCTGACGTTTCCAGCAGGGTTGTTGAGCTGCATTTATGTAGACACTGAAAGAAAGCAGTGACGTAGAACATGCACTATTCTTGTGGTCTTCGCTTGCCCTGACATAGCAGAGTTTACATTTTTTCAAGAAGTGTTCTGTAGAGTTCCAAACAGCTGTATCACTGTCTCCTATTCTTAAATTACAAACCATTAGAAACTAATGTTGTAGTGTTTTTTTCTTTTTTAATTGATGCATCTGATCTCTAGCCTGCAGCCATTGTTAAACTGCTAATAAAAAAGAGCAATATAAGTTAGGCAGCAGTTTTTGTTAAATTCAGAGAAAGTAATTCAGCAGTTCTTTTTTCCAGGCGCTTGATATTGCATTTGGTGGGGAAAACTACACTCTCAGAAGTACTTCTGTAGTATACATTTTTGTATTAATCTTTGGCGTAGCATAATAAATGCCTTATCAAGGGTGGCTTTTCCATTTTAGAGAGAAAACAGAAGTAGGCCATATATAAAATAAGTAGAAAGGATAGCTTGTGTGCATGTGAGTAAGGTGTGTATTTGCTTAGCCTTATCTAGTGTAAACAGTTTTCCAATACAAGATTTGGGTTTTTTGTAGCTAGTTTACATTCCCATAACGCATATCCCAGGATTTCCTTAGCATGTCCAAAGGATGACAAATATCCGTACTTCATACAACTATATTTAATAAGTTATTACAGAAAAAAATAAAGTCCAAACTACAAAGTTTAAGCAGTTGTAAGCAATAGCAGCATTGAGCTCCATGTTTAGTCACAGTACTGCAGTTCCATACAAGCATTAGTCCAAGCCAGAAAGGAAGAAGCCTTGTTAGAATTACTAGCAAAAACAATCTAAGAGAACATGTAATAAAAGATACAGTACATTTAAAATTAGTTGAAAAACAAGTACAGAGGTTTTAGCTGTGAATGCTCTAAAAGTTATGTCCATTATTTTGACAGTAAAATTACAAATATCTAATACTTTATACCCCAACAGAATTATGTCCAGGGAAAAAAAAAAAGCCAAAATTATCTCTTATTAGCACCCTGGTTTTCTGCTTACTGCTAAACTTTTTCCCAGGTAAATTTGAGCATGTCAGAATTATGTGACCAATGCGAGTTCTGTCCAGCTACCCATTTGGGGTATAGAGTAGTCACTAACATGAATATAAAATACTCTGTGGTATGAGAGAACACCATAGCAGCAGAGATTAAGTAGTTTGTCTGGTTTAAAAAAAAAGAAAGGAAGGAGGAAAAGAAAAAGGGTTTAGCTGACATCATACAAACTAGCATAAAAGCAACTACATACAAGCCAGAGTAAACAAAAGAGACATTTCTACAAATCTGTGACTAATCTTTCACTCATACCTTGCAAGTAGAGATGTCACAATACTGAAATATTAACATGGGAGCTTCTCCCAGTTAAGCGCCTTTTTTTTTTTTCTTTTTTTTTTTCTTTTTTTTACTACTCTAACAGATAGTGAAATCAGCAAAGTTATTTGCTAACTGCATATTTGCAATACAATTTGTTTTAGCCCATGCCTTGCTAGCAGGCTATAAAATACAAGCATGTAGGCAGAAATATAAGCATAAACTTTGTACCACTTAGCAGGAATTTTTTTATTCCCTCTTCATTCCTTAATCTCCTTTGTTTGCAATTTGTGTACATTCCAACCAGTAGTACCTAATTTGAGTCTAAATTTTACTTCACTATTTGATCTAGTCTATACATTACTTACAGAACTGAACACACAGAGGATACACAACAGACCAACTCTGGACACGTTTCTTTCCGCAAGTTACAGATGAGCCGCTCTAACGCTCCAGCGTAAGTTAGTCTGAAAGGTCATCAATAACTTGTTGAAGTAGTAGTTTTGTCTAGAGAAAGTCACTGTATGCCCTGTTTACGCAACACCAGTTTTAGTCTGGATTGGTTCAGGTGCCAGAACAGATAGTCACTGGCTTCAGGAAGGGGTTTCTTCTGGCTGCACAGGGAAACAAAGGTGATGTAAATGGAGGTGAAGTGAAAGGCGTTTTGATACCAGCACTTGGTATTGCCAATGCAAAAGAAAAAAAGACAAAGACACAAGAGAGGCAGAGAAGAACGGAGAAGGACAAAGAAGCTGAACAGATGTTCAGACATGGTGGCAATAGGGGGTACTGCATTGCTACCAGGAAATGGGCATAGATTATTTCGCATTAACTAGGCAGCTACCAACACTACGTGGTAACTTCGTCAGAAAACGATGTGGGTACCTACAGTCTGCTCCATGCTGCCACTGATAAACGTATGCAAGAAGGAAGTTGTGCAGGAAAGGGTCAATTTCATTAAGTAAGTAACACGGTGGCAAAATACAATGAGGAATAAATATTTTAGGTGGTTCAGTCTAAGACTGTTGAACAGAGTTTATTGAGTTGATGACGAGAAGAGTAGTGGAGCGTTACGCTGAATGGGCAGGGTCAAAACCCATTGCTTCAAGAGATTAGTTCATCATAACGGCAACAGTATTTCATCGACACTGGTGGTGTATAAATCTAGACAGCGAACTGGTACTGTGACATCCCTATTATCTCCCTAAATCATTTTGATAAAGGAAAAGGCTTTTCAAAATATCACATTTTTTCTGCTTCATTCTGTCATTTTATTGCCCAATTCTTTGTTACAATTTTCCAATCACTTTACATAACCAACCATTTTCATCATTGCCACACTATTGTAAACCACATCAGCAAGTTAATACATAAAGCTTTGCATTTCAAAAAACTAGACGCTTTAGTAACAATATTACAAAGATTTTAGCTTCAAAAATAACTGAAAATGAAAAAAATAAACTTTTAAAGAATTAGCATCATAAAATTAATTTATTCCAAGTAAAAATACAAAATAATATTAATGACATTGACCAGATATGAAAGTCTCTCCCAGAAACAACTATATTAATGGTTGAGAAAGCACTCCTTAAAGAAAATACGAAATAAAAATGAAAAATATGTAAATATGTTTAATTTTTTTCTTAGCAAAAAATCTTTCTAAAAATAACAATGAAAATTTGTCTCAGTACAAAGGCTACATTACTATTGAAAAAATACCAGCATGAAGAAAAGGTACATATTTGACAGTAGAAAAATGATTTTAGTGAATCACAATGTCTAAAGTCTGCAATGAAAATAAATCTGCAATAAAGATTTATGCCTTTTTTCTTTTCATTTTTCTTTTTTTTTATACAAACAGTACAAACAGTATTGCACATAACAACAAATAGTCGAGGTTAGGTTAGCCTTCAAAAAAATCGACTAGTTCAAGTCTCACATCAGAAAAGGCCACAATAGGACCTGTTGTACCCAGGGGCTTCTTAGTCAAGTTGCAGTTCAGAACTCCGTATTTTAAAAAATAACTTTTTTTGAAGGACCCTCTTTTAATATAACATATTAACAACTCAGGGGCACATTCATTTACAAAACAAAAGGGAGCATGTCATAATTTAATAAACTAAAAAAAGTTCTCTTTAAAAAAATACAAACAGAAGAACTCTCACAATTCTGGTCAGTCGTGCATAATCACACTTGATTATAAATATACAAATTAAGGGAAAATATTTTTTCACCTTCTATTCACAACTTTCAGCACCAAATGGAGTTTGTGTTTACACCTGTTCTTCATGATGATTTTGTTTTAGATTTAATCCAACATTATGCTATATTGTACATTTTCCGGCTTCTCTTTCTCTCTCTCTTTCTCTCTGGGGGTATTTTTCTACATGAAAGAGGGGTATTTCTTCAAAAAGGTTTACTTCTTTCACATAATTAGGTAGATTTCTGTAGGTTAGCTATGATCTTTAATATTAACAGTTATAAAGCTCTAACTTCTTCATTTTCAAAAAAACTCAAATAAGCATGAAAAAAATAAAGTTACCCATCTGTTAAATCATTTTTTCTTGCAGAATTAAATTAATATATATTTTTCTGAATAAACTTACTTAGAAAATATCATTTTCTTTCCTATATTTCAAAATTGAGGTATTGCAAAAGATCATGTCAGTCAGAAAGCATGCCTTTTTCTTTAAAAAAAATCATCAGCCGACTGTTGAAAACTGTCTAGATACAAAAAGTAGTGCATAACAAAATGTCTTGTACAGATGAAAAAAAAAAAGAAAAGACACCTGGGCTGGGAAAAGCAATATCACAAAAACGCCCAGAAGTAACTTCAAAAGGGATAATTATAATCAGCATTTTAAACCAGTAAAAAACTATTTTTTCTTTTTTTTTTTTCCAAAAACAGAAAAAATCCTTTCAAAGCCAATACTCGCAACTAAACACTGGGAAAAACAACGTACTAAATTAGACACAAACAAGGACATCACAACAAACAAAACTCAGAACATTTAAATCTACTATGCGGTGTCATATCCAGTCAGATTGTCCCCAGAACTGCAAAAAGAAAGGAGGAAAAAGAAAAAAAAAATAGTGTACACATTCTTGCAATCATTAGTATACCAAGTGTGTTTATATTTTTATGCTATCTGCAGCCCCATAGTTCATGCTAAAAAAATGTCCACTGTGTTAGCAGGTCTCAATCGTATTCAAGCTTCACAGGATACATCCAGGGATTAGAGAGATAACGCCACATCCACAGAGCAGACATCTCATGTCACTTTATATGCAGACATTTCTTTAGCACCACTTTTTTTCCTAACTTCCTTAAATGTGCCTAGTTTATTAGTTCGACAGACTATCTAATCGGTAGTGTATGTACGCTAGCATGAGCTCTTTGGTTTTCTGGACAAGGTCTGCAGCTACGTAAATGATGCAAGCATTAGGAGAGAGATTGTAGTAAGAGCTCACTTCTGTTTATGTACCTGTTATGAACTGTCAAAGATGTGTTAATGTTGGATACAGAGGCTTTAACAGTTAGGTTTGATCACAGTACTAGACATAATCACTTTACTATATAAAATAAATTGCACGATATATAACAGAGCACCGCAAAGTACTTCATCTACCATCCACAAATTTGTTTTAAGAATATCCTACAGCTAGTTTTTATATTTGTTGTAATATAGGTCATTCTGTAATGGGCTGATCCTAATTTCAGAAGCATTACATTTATTGAGGCATGCCTTCCTCCAGTCAGTAATCAATTTTTTTTTGTTACTGAGTAGTTTGTAGCCTACGTAGATTCATAATTTGTGCATTGTGGGCAGGTTTTTATATTAGACATATATAAAATTTATTGCATGCAGCAACCTGATTAAGTAAACATGCAGTCAAAAAATATTGACCTTCCTTGGAAGCTTTTCTGTATGCTATACTGATCTCCTTTCAGCAGCCATCACTATTTTAATCACATAATCATTTTTTAATTGATACCCTAGCCTGAATAGAGTATTATGGTATTAGTAATACCATTTTAATAGCAGCAAAAGCTATTGCAGCATACATTTACATAACACTAAAAGACCTAACAAAAAAAAAAACACAAAAACAAAACAAACAAAAAAAAAACCCTCAGCAAAACAAAAGAAAAATTCTGATCCAGCTTATGAGGTATCATCCTTACAAGTCAAAATGGAGAGCAACTAAAGGCTTATTTTTTCTTCAAGGGTTATTACTACTCTAAATGACCCAAACTAATGATTGCTGAATATCCGTTTAAGTTTTTGCTACATCTGCCACCTACTTGTGAATATTACCTTTGGTAAGTCATCTGCTAGGGGCAAGTCTAAATTTCTGAAAATAAGTGCATGCTCCAGTTTAAAAATAAAAATAATTGTAATTATAATTATAATAAAAAAATCTTCATCACATCAACCCAGTGAAGGCTGATGAGAATGGCAGTCTACATAATGTCACTAGTGACAAGTCTTGTGTAGGAAATTAAGGTACCAAGCAGATGTTTGTGTGAATCAAAGTGCAAAATCAGTACAGTTACACTCTGCCGGTTTGTATTATACTGGACACTGAGTTCAGTAATGTGACTGTAAATAATAATAATAGTACTAAAAAGACCCATATCTTCATTAAAGTCGAGGACGAATGCACAGATTTCCAGAACACCAAGCCCTGAGGCAGCGCTCTCTTTTCACTCGATTTAATCTACTCCAGTACTTGTTGCTGGGTGAGGCCGGGGGTTCAGCTCCAGCGGAACTTTTTCCGGTCCCCTCCCTCCTTTACCAGTGGTTTGTGGAACTCTCGCCCAGCACGAGAGTGTATGCTTGCCCAGCAGTATTCACAGTAATACTGCAAACAGGTAACATTGGCACAAAAGAATGGAGCAAATTTTCCACCACAGCGAGTGCCCTGGCATTCGTCACACATCTGATCATCCAGCACGTATGGCTTTACTTCCACCTGCACCAGGAAGAAGAGAAATAACTGTAAGATTACATAGTTTTGCTAAGTATGAATAGAAGGAACAATATTTTAATTCTTCTGACTCTGTTGAGCTTTTTCAACCAATGCTGGATTAACCCAAAGAGGTGGTAGTTAAATTTTCCTATCAACTACTTGTCAGAAAATCTCAAGAAGGAAGGATGTGCTTTGCTAACCATTCAACGTTTCTTGGAAAAGTTAGGTATGTGAAAGTACTAAGATGGAAGTACAGTAAAAATAGCATCTCCAAGGACTTTGCTGCTGTCTTCCAGGAATGTGAATACAGTTGTTACGGGGGCAGGGTGGGAGAGAGTAGCATTCAGGAAGAAAAATGATAAAGAACAGGCATATTTCTAAACTACAGAGGTCTGGTGAGTTTCAGAGGTTTTTTTCCAGACGTTTTTGTTTGTTTGTTTCTTTGATTTTTGTGAACTGCAAAATGCAGGACTAGACTAATAAACAAAGAGAAGATTCAAATTAAACACGATTAAATGCACTTGTATTAAATACTCTGCCTGATGCCAGCAAAAATCACTATTTAGAGATATTTAGCTCTAGAAACCTAGTAAGATTTCATAGATGTTCCAACTGTGGCCTTACCGTCAATTACAAATAGGCTGGAGAGCTCCAGGCTTTAGTCCTATACTCACTTGTATACATCTCAGGAGTGGAATTATTTTTTTTTTTAAAGCACTTGTGCCAAACACAGCAGTAATTTGAGGCATGACTAGGCACATGCAATAATACTATTACAGAAGCTGACCACCTGTGAGTTCTCTTCCATGTCTGTTCCTAAGAATCAAGCCTACATATTTAAATTGAGTATTCATTCTGAGGAAATCATTAGTTCTTATGGATTTATGATGCTATTTACAAAGTGGTTTAAGTACAGTCAACTACATTAAAGGACATAATGAAAGTATGTATATTTCAATTTTTTCTGAATAACTTCATTCTAACTGCACAAGTGCTAGTTTCGCAAAATTTGTATATTGCAAGGAAAACTTGACTCCAGTAACTACACTTAAATACATACAGTATTAAAGAAACACAGAATAAGATATTAAGTTAAAAAACCCAAGAAACGTATTCTACAAAAAAAGCTTTATGCTGAATTTTACTTTAGCTTATGCTGATCACGTTTCAACAGATGATACTTATTTGAAGTAAAGCTTATATAGAGAATTATATTTCTTGCCTAGGGAACAGCTAGAACAGCCAATAATTTATTTTTTTTTAATTACACTGTACTACTAGTATTGCATGGAACAAGTCTGAATAACTGCCATTTTGCATATCGGATGCCCTACCACTAAAATTAGAAGCATCATGTAAAATAAAATAGCACTGTCTCAAATGAAATTGGAAGAACGCAGGTCCAATGTCCAGCACATCTCCAGATCCCTACCTACTCACATTGCCAAAGCATGAATTGTGAAGGTCTGAAATAGATTCTCTCTGTCACTCCTTTTCTTGTTTTGGTTACTAGTACAATAATTTTAAGAACATATGCTGTACAATTCAGGGATTTCACTTTATTAGATTTAAAAACTAATATTTAAGGACTGATTATGAGACTTCATACTTATTCAAACTCACAGAAAAACCTGTTTTAAAAACAGATAAAAGATAATTAAGTAAACTTAAATTATCAGTCGAACAACTGAGAAAAGTACTGATTGATGGAAAAAATTATCAGCTAGCATCAGTTGTGGCTCCATCCTACAGCTTAGAAAAATACTCAAGTTTTTAAGCATGGCTGATACAGAAATATCGAAGGGTTTAACACTGTAATTAAGACTCCAAAATTAATCTTCTTAGTCTGTCTGTAAAAATTTTCAGATTTCCATGGACAAGAAATACTTAGGAACAGTCTTGTCTTAGTTAAAATAATAAGGTATAGTAGCACCAGAGAAAAATAGTTTGAAGACTTGTAACTTCCATTACCTCATCTAATCTGACAAAAAGTTAAGTTCAGATTTTTAAAGAGAAAATAAAAATAGCATGGACTTTGCAGCTGTGTGGTTTTGTATGTATACTGCACGTAACAGACACATCCAATACCTGTGACGTTGCCTTCTTAATAAACAATTTATATCAGATTAAGTAGAAAACAAGCCATCCTTATTGTAAAAACACATAGCAGCAGTTCATGCTGTATGTTCTTTTGAATAATTCTAAATGCTCAGAAACAGGGGGTTTTGTACATGTAATGAAGAGGTGAAGGCAGAAGGTCTAAAGGAGAAAAATATCTTGGAAATTAAGTATTGTTTCTTTTACTGTCTTCAGCTTAGATTTCAGTAAATACTGTAACTTCACTCTATACTTGAAAAGCCCTTTAGAAACCAGGATTTCATATAGACTGAACAAAGCCATCTCATTTTACCCCCCTTTTGCCTATCAAGTATCTATTGGCATTTGGTTTTGGTTAAACAATTCTCAAGACTTTTCAGGTCAGCATTACCTATTATACGTATGATAAACTCGTGTTTTACGAATCTCAAGCCTAGACATACGTTGCTGAGAGAAAATATTATGTAAAAAATAGCAGAAATGCCAGAAGTTATGTAAGTAGCCACTAACCAAAAGTTGTTCACGCGCAATGAGCAATCATCTAAAGGAGGAGAAAGAAGCTGGGAAATTCTACAGTGTTTGACCTTCAGAATTCAAAACAAACCAAGAACAAATGAGCTTACAACCAAATATTTTCTGGTTTTAGTGCTAAACAGTCATTTAAGATGTATAAGATACATTTTTCACTCTGCTTTAGCTGCTTAAATAAGCTTTTAAGTAATTAACAAATGTCATCTGAAGAACAGAGGATACAGTGTTCTTCAACGCAATACTAATATAAGGATGTTTTTCATTTTTGTACAGTTTTGTGAGTAACAACTATTCTGTTCCATGCTATTTTACTTACCCGTTTATCAATGTCATTATGTTGGAGCTGGACGAAGCGAGCACTGATAGCAGCAATATAGCTCTGCTGATTGGAGAAAGCCACTCTGCCAGCACCTTTTGGATACTTCAACTCTGGGTCTGTATCAATGCCAGCGTAGCAGACACCTCCATATAAACGGTCCATAATCATTGCCAATTCAACTGCAAGAAGTCAATTGTTAAATGTCATAGATTTAACATAAATAACAGTATTGTGCTTGGTTTATTGCATTAAAAAAAAAAAAAGTGCAATTTGCCTAAGCGTACTTGTCTTCCAAAGTCTAAAACAGCAAACCCAAATGTTGGTTTTAACAGATTGAATCAACCCTACATGAATTACAGTAAAATATAAAGGCAAAAAATAGAATCTGTAAAAAGCAACTTGGTGTGACTGAAGTCTGAAAAAAAATGCAGAGTTACATAGTTAAAGTAGGTATTAGATCACCTGTTTTACGATTTATCGTTATTGTAAATAAAAGCTGTGGTATTTGGGATTAGGCATGCAGGATCTCCTCCAGCTCCGACCAGGCTTGTTAATGCTGGTTTACATATGAAATCACACAGAGATATTCCTGTATTTAGTCTGATATTTTACCCTAAGTACTAAGGTTGAAAAGACATTAAGGAAGCATTTTACATTTGAAACAAAATTTTGTGAAAAAACAGAAGATACTATGCTTAAAGCATGCCTACATTTTGGATGCAATTTAACTTAGTATTTTTGTAGAACATTAACTTGATTGTGGATCTTTTAAAATGGTTTATTGCTTTTTCTCACACTAAGAATAAATCTGAAGATGTTATAATTCATAAAATAAGTCGGGCTGAGTGCATGGCTGAGGAAACATACAGGAGGAAAGTTACAGGAAAGAATTGAAGGAAGTGCAGGAGAGGCATGTACACTGTGCAGAGATGTATGGTCACCAAGCCAGGTTCTCTGCAAAAGCTGATAGGCAAACAAATTAGTCGGACGGATAAAGGACAGACCCTCACAAAGCAGGATACTGGGACCTGTACAGGCCCTGCCAAGTCAGCCATTTTTTTATGCTAATGTGTGAAAACACTTTCAGTAGCAAGTTAAAACTTAGCTATCCAAGATGAAATGGAAAAGATTTACTAAATATTTACATCTTTGTAGTACTCACAAAATTCTCACTGGTTAATTATACATAGAATAGAGACAACTTTTAAATTGAGTATATATATGTGTTTGTATAAATGCGTGTGTCAGATTAAGGGAAGGCCATATGCTGATTTGTTCATTTGCAATTAGCAAACATAATGTCTGACTCATTCTGCCAAACCAGATAATTACTCTTGCTCCAAACAGTCAGGGAAACTGTTGGCATAGCGTAGTGACCAGTACCTTCTTCTACTTTTTAATGATTTGGAATCATCATTTGGGTAATGATCTCAGAAAGTGACAGTATGGAATAAACATCAGGAACACTTAAAAACATTTACAATAGTAGTTCCAGTAAGTTACTCTTGCCAATAGACAAGGAATATATAGGATTCCAGGGCAAGGAAACCATGCAATGTTCGTATGTCTTAGGAATCTTCTGTATCAGATCTTTAAAGTTGCAAACAAGAAAAACTGGAAACTATTTGTCTGCTTTGGAGAAGTTAACTATTTAAAGGCATCAGTTTTCAAATGTAATGCATTTCAAATGTAATCTATGACAGGCCAAATTACATACAGCTTTATAAAGGCTATATTAGAAATGAGGTAATGTTTAATTGTTACTATTCACATAATTACCATTTTACAATGATGCCTTATTTTAAGACAGTGAGGAAAGTGAAAGCTGCCAAGAAACCTGGGCTGGGAAAAGTCTTACTGTCAGCAATGGCTGGGAGATCTTGTGTACAGCTTCCCAAAAGAATTAGGATTAGAAGAAAGCAAGAAGCTGCAATTCTAGTGGGCTGAAAAGTGGCTGCCAAAGGAAAATGAGGGCTGCTGGGAGACTTGATCCAGAAGTCTTTCTTCAGACAATGGCTGAGGGGCCTTGCTTACCACAGCCCTGGAAAATTAGGATTAGGTTTGAGAGGATGAAAAAGAGAAACCATGCAGCTGACTGAGTGAGGATGGAAAATGACTACTAAACAGAAGTGAGGGTTTCCAAAAGACCTAGCTAGGAGAAATGTTTCAACTTGCTAATGGCTTCCTGATCTGTCACTGGCTCACCAAAAGTATAAGAGTTAGGAAGAAACGAGGGAGTGTTGAGCTACAGTTAGAAGTGGCGCTGAAAAGGCACCTTCAAAACAAAGTAGGGCTTGCCAGGAGGTCTGAGCTGCAATAAATCTTTCCTCTGGCCAAAGGCTAAGGAGTCTTGTCTACAGCTCTGCAAATAAAAGTGAAGAAAAAAAGAGTTAAGAGTGAAGAAAAAAGATTGAGGAAAAGAGCTACATTAGGAGTGGGTCTGGAAAGTGGTCTTCAGTACAGAGTGAGGCCACCAAGAGACCTGGGCTGGGAGAAATCTTTATCTGGCCAACGGCTGAGAGGCCTTCTCTATAGCTCCATGGGAAAACTAGGGTTAGGGTTGAGAAAAAGGGAAAGAAAAATCATAGAGCTGCAGTTGGAATTGGTTTGGAAAGGGGCTGGGAGAAGTTTGTCTTCTAGTAAAAGGAAAAGGAAACTTGTCTGCATCTCAAGCAAGCAAATGGAGGTTAGGATTAAGATGGTATACATTACGAAATATCAGCCAAGTTCTAGGATATTATGCAAACTTGGGGAAAACTGTTTCTACTGAAAATCCTAATTAATAACTTATTTAAAAGACAAATGATGTTCACAGTTTGTATTTTGTAGACAGGAAGACACCCAGTGATTTAGAAAGTGTGCTACAATCTTTGGAAAAGAAGGCATATTTTCTGCTCTATTTCTTTTACATACAGTATAAATATTTTCTGCTTAATCTGGAACCCCCTGCTACACACCCTACATTTTCCTTCTACTCACCAGCTCGGAGGGGCCGTGGAACTCCTCCAACAAAGATAGTTTTTCTTGGATCCAAAGGCTGAGACCCATCCATCACAAAGTCACTGTCACTTAGGTTCCAAGGTCGAATTTGCACCTGTATTAAGGATTGTTTTTAGTAGATGAACTTGACAA